TTAAACTCACTGAAGAGAGTAACTTCTATAAATCCTTCACCAAGAGACATTTTCTAAGGTATTCAGTATAATTTCTGTGAATTTTTCCACTTTGTCTCTCACTTCTCAGTAGCTTTTTAAAACATGTTGACCTGAACTGCACCCAGCTTTCAAACACTGATCTCATTAGTTCCCTATCCAGAAGCAATATTACCTCCCTGTGTCTGTTAATGATTCTTCTTATACCACAGCAGCCCTCTGTGTCACAACTCTGCACAGGGAACTTGTACACAACCAACTACCTCCTGTGCAATGCTTTCCAGTGCTTGAAACCCCATGATGTAGGTACAATTACATCACCTCTTCTTAGAAATAGTTATGCGTTTAGCTAAATGTATTAAAAAGCAAGTTTTCTGATCAAGCTGTGTGCCCCAAAGCCTCCCTTTCAGTGTGCTGCCTTTCTCTTCACATCCCACTATATCCATCTTTGTAACATGTCCATTCTTTTCTAGCGGTCCTGTAGGTTATTGAGTAATTGTGAGGCTGGCACAGGCTCTGCTGGAAACTAGTGTTGCAAGAGGTTGTAGCAAAACAGGTATTAACCCCCTGCACAAGTATTTTAATGAAAATTGGTACTTGTGTTATAATGACATGTGATAAGACAAGTGCCTTTCAAAAATCTGTTGCATCTGTGGAGGAACAAAATATATCTTCCCATTGTAATAACATCATGTCTGTGTGACAAGACTTATTTTCTATTATACTGATATAGATTGGCAAGTGTTCTTTTATTTTCCATTTTCTTTCTTTCCTTCCAAAATGGACAAAGGACTGATTTAAGATAAAGGAATAAACCCAAAGCATTCGCTACATAACTCTGCCTTTAATTATACTCAGAACTATTTTCAGCTTGCCTAGCAGTTCAGAAAATATGAGTGAAGGCTTCAACATTTGGTTCACCAATGGTAGGTAAAATGTGCTGTGGAGTACTCAGGGTGTTCCATTTCAAAGATTCAGAAAGGTCAGTAGTAACTGCACAATTTTGTGCATGGGCAGAGTTTGGCTCATTACATGGCCTGAGTGTCTAAATGACACTCATGTAACACTGAAGATTAAATCAAAGTGAAGCTAGCTGCCTGTCAAAATAACAAGAAATGGCAAAGAGGAAGGAATTAAAAAGAGGTGACAAGCGCAGTTACAGAACCTCAATTCACTTCTCACTTTGCAGGAGAATATCCTTAAGGTAATTAAAGGCAGGCCCAAGCTAGGGAGAGAGCGTTCATAGAGAAGATGGGTGTGCATCTGAAAGCAAAACTTGCCCATATTTATATTGCTATCTAAAATGTTTAATGCTCAGCGAAAGAGGATTTGCAGAGAAAAGCTCAGGAACACAGTAACTGAGCTGTAAGTACTTTAATACTGCCTCAGTGTGACAGAAAAGAAACATTATAACAACTCTTTATACATACGCCTATAGAATTCTATCGATATGCTACCTTGCCACTTTACTGGATGCTTGTTTTTCAACAAATTTTGTGCTTAATAAGTTCATCATTCAAAGCTTTAATGTTTTTCTGACATTTAAAATTCCTATTTCATACCACTGGGGATACTTAAAGATTTTAAATCTCCTGAAAGAAAATTCTAACTAAAACAATTTCTAAAATGCACACAGGCTGCTGTCATATATTTGGGTTCTTCACACTTCCTTTATACAGCTCACCATTACTACCTAGAAGAGTTGTTACTAGAATATGAACTTTATTAATTTTTTCTTTTTTTAAATACTATGAGACTGTGTATGGGGAAAAATCCAAAGGAAAAATAACTCCAGATAAGAGTGTACTGAGGACTGCAACTTGACCAGGTGCTCCCTGAGGGTGGTTTTGGTTACTATATGGATTAAAATCTAGGAGCCTATAAAAAGGGATTAAGAACGGTGGGGTTTAGGAAGGAATAAGAGAGGTCTGCTGGATTTGCTGAAGGAAGGCCTGATAGCTGGTAAGGCTCCTGGTGAAGAACATACCAATGTTACTTTGGGATAACATTTTCATCTTTGAACTGTGCTGTTTGGTTTCTATGGACAGCTCTATACTTACTGCATCCCAAAGCCTGATGCTCATACTGTTCAGACCAGGAAGTCACTGGACCAGGTGAGGTTCCATCCATGGTACACAGGATCCTGGAAACAGACTTGCCTCTCAGGAGGACATGGCTGGGGCACGGCCCTGCAGGAGCAGTTTCCATGTACTGACAGTCACAGCTACCCAAGGGGAAGAAGTGCATGTGCCTGAACTCATCCAGATCTCCTGGACATGACAGACCACAGACTGCCTGAAGAGTAACCTCAAAGTATGCCCTGAGATAGATAACATCACTACACCTCATAGCTGATGCCTCAGGATATTGCAGTATTATGCAAAGTCGTATTGTGTTACCCAAGATAGGCAGGAGTGCCGCTGTGCATCACCATGGCAGTCGCAGTATCAGGCAGGGATCCTAGCTCAAGCCCAAAAGCCAGCACAGCCTGACCTCTGCTTCTTGTTCCAGGACCAAGCTATTCTGTGCTAGCTGGGTCAGCAAACATCATCTGTAATCAGCATGCCCATGAAAGACAGACAAGAATCAGTAGCAAGGCAGTGGTGCAAGAGGTCTTTAATGACAACCATCACTAATTTTTGCATCTGTTAATATTTACAATGCCTAAAAAGGGATTTTCCTCAAAATTACAACTGTTCTGTAGTGCTACAGGGTGAAATCCATGCCTGTGCCATCTGCCCTAATGACGACAGTCCCCCATCTCACTAAAAAGTGACAAAGTGGCAATACAGTATACAAGCATTAGCTTGTTTATAACGTGTTGTAATTGGAATGGAAATCATCCGCAAATTAACTAAGTGAATAAACACAGCTCTCCAAAGTTATAAATTAAAATATTTAATTGAAATGCTGGTCTTCTCCATTTGTGAAACAAATGTTAAAACAGGATGAAGAAAAGCTTTTGCATTTTTTAATGCCACCATTCTAAATGTAAGAGTGCCAGTGCTGAAACACACCAAATATACTCACTATAGATCACAAGAAAGCTTTTGTTACACTATCACACATAAGAAATCAGTGGATAAAACAGGAAGACAGCAATCAGCAGCAAGGTAATATCCATTTTTAACCCATGTTATAAAGCAGATGGGTCACCAGAAAGATGAACGAATCATCGGGAATCAGCAAGGTTTCACAACAGCTGGGGTAGACCTGAATGGAGGATGTACACATGCTGATGCTGTTACCCAGCAAGGGAGAAAGAAAACTTCTCTTCGGATTCCAGTCACTCACCAGGGCCAGATTCTCCAAAGTGCTTTAGATACATGGTGGTGTAAACGAGGACAAAGCATGTTTTCTTAAAATGGCCTAGGCTCCTCTAAAGACCAACTCATCCCGCTATTTTGATGTATCCTGGAGGACATGCTTGTCTCCACTGACATACAGTGGACCCTGGGAGACTATCCTGTGCATGCAAACATGTACATCTGGTGTTTGAAGCTGTTCGGTGCTCCTCCGACCCAGTTGCTTCTTTGCAAGTTCAGCCTATAACACACTCAAGCCCCACTGGGTTGCCTGCACTATCCAGTATGTAACAGCTCTGCAAATCTGGCCATGTGTCCCTAATATCACCTTCTGAAGAAAGCAGGCATCCCCATGCCCAGGCTTCCTCAGCAGGCTCTCTGCATGCTGTTAGGTGCTACCTGCTCTAGACCTTATACTGTGCATCCCTGCTTTAAATCTCTTATATTGTCATTTTCATATGAATCACAGCATCACAGAACAGTTGAGTCTTTCGGGTGCCTCTGGAGACGGTCTGGTCCATTCTGGTTCTCAAAGCATGGTCAGTCAGGAGCATGCCATCAGGTTTTGAGTATCTCCAGGGGTGACTAAACACCCCCAGTTCCCTCAGCTGCTCCTCATAGCACCTGTGCTCCAGACCCTTCACCAGCTTTGTTGCCCTTTTCTGGACCTGCTCCAGCACCTCAGTGTCTGTCTTGTAGTGAGGAGCTCAGAACTGAACACAGGATTTGAGGTGTGGCTTTACCAGTGCTGAGTACAGAGGGGTCATCACTGCCCTGGCCCTGCTGGACACACTGTGTCTGATACAGGCCAGGTGCCACTGGCCTTCTTGGCTGCCTGGACGCAAGCTGGCTCATGTTCAGCAGCTGACAATCAGCACCCTTAGGTCCTTTTCCACTGAGCAGCTTTCCAGCCACTCTGCCCCAGGTCCGTAGCATTGCATGGGGTTGTTTTTCTTTCATGCGCCTACCAAGAGTGCAAAGATGACAATAGTCTTACAGTGAGTGTTCAGTGCCACTTGACTTCACCTCCATATACTCTGAACACTGAAAAAGTGACTTATGAGAAAAAGAGGCTCAGGGGGAACCTTATTGCTCTCTACAACTGCCTGTACTTAGGATGGAGTGAGGTGGCCTGACTCCTCTCCCAAGTAACAAGAGATAGGATAGGAGGTAATTGCTTCGAGCTGCACCAGGGGAGCTTTAGATAGGATATTAGGAAAAATGTATTCATTGAAAGGGTGATCAGGTATGGTACAGGCTGCCCAGGGCAATGGAGGAATCACCGTCCCTGGAAGCGTTCAAAACCCGTGTAGATGAATCCCTCAGTGACATGCTTTAGTGGTGGTCTTGGCACTGCTGGGAGTCGATGCTCTTAAAGGTCCTTTCCAAGCTAAATGATGCCATGATTTTAACTTCTGTGGGCCACACGGGCGATCCAAACCCTCCTTCGCCTCAGGGCGGTCGCGGCGGTCCCTCAGGGGTAAGGGGCGGGGGGGGGGCTGAGAGGGGCGGGGAAGAGCGGGAGGAGCACCCCCCACCCCCACCCCCCCCCTTCCCCGCCCCTCTCTCCCCCCTTCCCCCCCCCAACCCCGAGCGCGCGGCGCGGCGGGAAGCACCTGCGCAGGCGCGCGCGCAGGGGCGGGGGGCGCGCACCTGCGCTGCGCCCTCGGCCTCGCGCCGTGAGGGCGGCGGGCTGCCGCTTCGAAGGGATCGCGGCAACCCTCTGTTGTTGTTGTTTTTCCTCCTCCTCCTCCTCCTCCTCCTTCTTCTTCTTCCTCCTCCTCCTCCTCCTCCTCCTCCTCCTCCTCCATTCCTTCCTCCGACCCGCCGGGGGAAAGCCCAGGTGACCGCCGCCGGGGGGTGTGTGGTGGGGTGTGTGCTGGGGTATGTGGTGTGTGTGTGTGGTTTTCGCGTAGAGTTTATAAGTTCTCCCCCCTCGTCAGCCCGGGCGGGGTTTCCTCACAGGGGGTCGGTGAAGGATATACCCCCCCCCCCCCGACCGCTCCCTCCGTGACTGAAATAACCCCACTTTGAAATGGTGGCTGCTGAATAACGGGGTTTACAGCGCCCCGCAGCCGGTCCCCACCCCAAATTGCAGCACTTGGGCGGGGGTTTGCTGTTCTATGGGCTCCTTCCCATGCCTGTGCCTTCTGTCTATGCAGGTGAAGGGAATTGCCGTTAGGAGCACTCAGCCTCCGTGTGTGAGTTCTTTTAGCGGGTAATCTCGGGCAGTTTAAAATACCCCTCTCTGTTTTGTTTGTTTGGTTTTTATTGTCACGTTTATGTAACAAGTGCCTGCCTGCACATTTAGGCTGGTGGTGTTGTCTAGGGCATTGCATGCTCTGGGGGTGCTGTGTCCAGTGCTGTGTCTGAACATTAAAAACCATGTCTTTCTGTTGGAGAAGACAGGGGTTAAAATGAATGAAGATCTGAAGGTTAATTTGAGCTGGCTGCCTCAGGATCATGTAGAAGCCAGCTCTACCGAGAATGCCTCAGCCACAGGCTCCTCCCTGGTTCCTGTCGTAGACCCAGAGCCAGAGCTTTTGGTAAACCCCTGGGACATTGTCTTGTGTACTTCAGGGACCCTTATCTCCTGCGAAAATGCCGTTGTGGTTCTTATAATTTTCCATAACCCCAGTCTTCGTGCCCCCATGTTCCTCCTGATAGGCAGCCTGGCGCTGGCAGATCTCTTAGCAGGCATTGGACTGATCATCAATTTCGTTTTTGCATACCTTCTGCAATCAGAAGCTACGAAACTGGTTACGGTTGGACTGATTGTTGCCTCTTTCTCAGCATCTGTCGGCAGCTTGCTGGCTATTACTGTTGACCGTTATCTCTCACTGTATTACGCTTTGACTTACAATTCAGAGAGGACTGTCACTTTTACCTATGTCATGCTTATATTGCTCTGGGGAGCGTCTATCTGTGTTGGACTGCTGCCTGTAATGGGCTGGAACTGCCTCAGAGATGAATCCACCTGCAGTGTTATCAGACCACTCACTAAAAATAATGCAGCTGTTCTTTCGGTCTCTTTCTTGCTTATGTTTGCCCTCATGCTGCAGCTCTACATTCAGATCTGTAAAATTGTGATGCGCCATGCCCATCAGATTGCCTTGCAACACCATTTCCTGGCCACTTCCCACTATGTGACCACCCGAAAAGGAGTGTCTACTTTGGCCATTATTTTGGGGACTTTTGCTGCTTGCTGGATGCCTTTTACGCTCTATTCTTTAATAGCAGATTACACCTACCCTTCTATATACACCTATGCCACCCTCCTGCCAGCTACCTACAATTCCATCATCAATCCTGTAATATATGCTTTTAGAAACCAGGAGATACAGAAAGCACTTTGGCTCATCTGTTGTGGCTGTATTCCTTCTAACCTGTCTCAGAGAGCAAGATCACCCAGTGATGTCTGATTGGCAGCTAGGAGGACGCTCCTTAACGTGTTACTTTCCAGGCGTTCTCGCGATGCTGTTGTTGGTTTAGTTGTATTCATTAAATGGTGTGTGATGGGTTCATATCAAAACCACAGGATGCACTGACCTTTTTATAAACAGAAAACCCCAGTGACCAAAATTAATAGAATGATTTAAGGATGATTTCCAAAATCAAAATCATCAGTGTTCTCACAGATTTATAATGTTGCTCAGGGTCTTTTTGTTATCTTACCCAGACTTTGTCATGTTTGCCATGATTTTATGTTCAGTTTGTTAATTAAAGGTAGATTGAAACAGCATACCTCCTTTGAAATTTTTGTGTGGTTGGGTTTAGTCATACTACATGTTACAGCCTATTGTCATGGTATTTTTTTCCCCTCTAATTCTTTTTAAAACAGGAGGAAAAAAAGAAACCCCAAGTCCTGTTACCACATTCATGTATCATCAGAATATTCTTCAAAATAATGGCCAATTGTACTGATTCATATGGTATTTATTGTAATAATCTCAGTGCAACAAATTTGCTCTGAGGAACTAACTGTATAGCTTTTTCTTTTACATCTTTGCATGAATTAGTTTGGTAATTGTTTTAAAGGGTTACCTGTTATCTCCTGAGTTCTGCTGGCTGTTAAAACAGAAGCTATGCTTTGCTTTCCCTTTCAAAAGTCAGTCTTAAATTTTCACTTAGGTAGGGGACATTAGAGCTCACACTATTAATTTTAAAAGGAATTTAGGAGGGGGATCTTCTAAATTTATGAAACAGTAGGGTCTCTCCTCAGACAAGTTTGTATTTTTAGACGCAAATAAGAAAATATCTAATAAAACAACCCACAAATTATTGCAATGCGTATTTAGCATCTGCCCTAAATGGTTCCTGTTAAGTTTGTTATCAAGTCAAAACTATTGCTACTTGTTTTCATTGTTCTATGTAATTTAAAATACTGGTATTTATAAATTCTCAGCGCATATCTGGTTCATAACTGTGTGCAACCAGAACTGCAATGCGAAACTATTTTCTCCTTTTCTGTCAGTTTCATCCATTACAGATTGTAATTCTTCGCAGTGTATGTATGTCAGTTCATTTCATTGTAGGATGATAGTTCTGGTTTAAAAAGCAGAACTTCCTCTCATGAATGGTTAAATTTCAAACCACTTCTAACCTTTTTACTGAACTCACATTAGAATGCACCAGAAATAATATTTTATTTTCTGATTTGAAAACTTAATTGTCAGAGAGAAAATCTTCCTGACAGATGTTTTTGTGAATCTCCAAGAGTACCATAGTGTCAGTCGGTGCATGGGAGTTCATAGTACCATTTCCACTAGTGTTGATGGGAGCTCAGTGTGTTAATACCCTGCCATCAGCAGGAGGTTATATTCTTTCAGATGTCAAAGTCAGCATACTGTATTGTTGCTTCAGTATCTTCCATTACAGTTTAGATAAAACCAACAAACTCAAGTGTAAAAATAGCAATATTTACAGTTCGATGAAAAAATATACCTGTATAGTATAGACAGTAGAAACAACTGTGTTGCTGGTCTGGATTTTTCCAAATGAAATCTGTCCTTTTCACATGGGCATTTGGATGACTGTAGCTTTTTGTGGCAAAGCTTCTTTGACATTAAGAACCATATGCTATACACAAAGCTGAATCTCAAATGTGAATGAGTTGTCTGTAAACAAGGCTCTGTAGAGGTTTTTATGAGCAATAATTAATTTTAGTTGCAATGCTCAAATTCCATTATTTACTTGGTTCAATCTTCATGATATTTAGTTCTTACTTTGTAATCTGATTAGTTTAATAATTGCATGGCATGATCCAGTAGAGCTGTGAACTTGCAGCTCCCTTGTCTTCACTGTGATTTACAGATGCTCAGCAGAGTTCGGCTGTGACCCCTGTTCAGTGTAGGATATTGATGTTCTTTATCTACTTCTGACTGCTAATGAAATTCTAGTAATTGCTTTTTGGCACAATTTTTTGTATAAGAAACAGCCACTTCATAAATACCCATGCTATGTATGCAAGCAGTTTTGCAAGTATGCAAAGTGTTGGAAACAAGTGGCAGTAAAAAAGTCATGAGCTGAATAATATAGAGAAGCTGAATGATGTAGAGTGGTACTTTTAAAGGCAAAAAAATAAGTCATGCACAGTTTAGCCCCCCTCATTCTTTCCCCCCCCCCAGTTGTTCTTCTGTATCAAATCACTAAGAAGTGCAATGAAGATGAGCAGCTACAACTGGGGCCAAAATTCAGTCCTGAGGGCAACTGTTGTTTTGCTTATGCAGACCTGTTCTCATCCTTTGTATAAGCTCACCGGCACCAGTGTTTTTCTTTCCACAATATATGGGTGGTAGGAAAGCCAGGAAAAAAAAAAACAAAACAGCACAGAGGGAGATAATGTCATCCACTTTTCTCATGCTGGTTCACCTAGTGTCCTTGTCATCTTTCTCGCTCCACAGACTGCTCAAATCTGTAGAGGCTTTCCAGAGCGCTGAGGGAGCAGACCTTTTCCTTGTGCCAGAGCAGAGATATTGTAATTGGAAGCTCCTCCCCTGAGGAGCAGCATGAGTCAAATGGAGGAAAGAAGGATTAATTATAGAAGTCCCACAAAGCTAACTCAAAGGGAAGTGATTTGCCCTCATTTAAGGAGTAGCACATGGTTACCTTTCACCATATGATTATGCATCCCGTATGCCTCCCAGCCTACTGCTGAGAACACCAGCAAGGATGTTGTTTCTTCCAGAAATACATTCTTAAATTGAGACTGTGCAGCACAGGCCAGAAAAGCCCTCTGGAAGTCAGTGACATAGGTTTGCTGTGTCAGACCAAACTTTAACCTGGCTTGCAGTGCTACACAGAGGTTGCATAACACACCTGTGAATGAGCTCTTGGGAGTACAATGCTGCCTACCTCACTTGCGCAAAATAAATGCCTGACAGCTGCTTTTCAGACCCTGCAGAATTAAGCAATTCTCTGCTATAACTTCAGAATTACAGTGTAGGCGCTGGCTCTGTATGATGAGTTGCCAGTATCCATCCAAGATCCCTATGAAACTGGCAGAAATCCAGCTTACAGGAATCCGTCACTGTTGTCCTATCAATCAACACCTGTGCTTAAGATCAGGGGTGTTAGAAACACCATTCTATGTACAGTGAAGTATCTTTCGTATCAATGGCAAAAGACTTCTTAGTGTTACTTCAAGAACTGAAGTTATTTTTTATTTATTAACATGCTTGACCCAAAGTTACTAACAGGTTGTATCTTGATGGGCAAAATTTACTGTATTCATGTATTCACTCTCAAAGCTGGGGGGAAGATTTTATTTTTTTCTTTCCTTAACCATTTCTCCTAACAGCAAGACTTCAGCAATAAGGGGAAATATGTTTTTAGCACAAGAGCAATAAAATCCTCCATGTTGCATAAACTGCTGAGTAAACTGAGCAATAGAGAGGAAGCAATATGTTATTTAGACAAAAAACAGTAACTTCCGTAAAGACTTTTAAGTAAGCAGAAATCTCCCTTTGTTAAGCAGTTGCGATCAGACTGATGTGGGACATTATTTCTGGTTGGTTTGTGTTAGAGTTATTGAGTTCCTGAGTAGAATTACTCAGCAATAACCTTTTACCTTTTTTCCACAAATTTCCCAAATTTGTGCTGTTTGCAGGAGGGAATTCTGTCCTGCAGTAGGGGTTTTTCTTCTTTGCATGGTTTGGCATTTAGTTGCACATCATTCTATGCATAAATTCATTGTGTTCAGGATTTCCAGTTGTAATTTAACACTGAAAATACTCTTCACCAAACAGAAACCTAGAATACCTGAATTTATCATGCCCATCAAGATGGATATGATAAATGGTGCTAACCCATTCTTAGGGAAGCTTGGCTTTTAAAAGAATGAGATTATGGTATCATTGAAGAAAACCCCTACTAATACCCAGGGTATTTGGAAGCAAGCTGAAAGGCCTGCTGCCATGCTTATGTTCTACCATGGGTGCTCAGTGACATAAGCAGCTGCATCCATTCTTTGTTTACAGGGGCCAGCCTTAAGGCATCTTGGAGTCACTAAACCCCCTCCACAGACAGGAGTGAACTTTGGCTTAGACCAACAGCCGTTCTGTCCCCAGAGAGTTATTTTTCTGTTACCTCATTTTCTTAGGGATTGTTTAGCTTTTAAAAATAAGATACTTGTGGATTAATTTCTCAAAAGAGATAAGCAATCTGGTGTGTGACCGGAAGGTGGGATAAAACAGCATTGCTACAAATCAAGCCTCTTGAAACATACATACACATTCATTACTTTTTTAAAAAATGGGCTTCTATAACATTCAGAATCCCATTTTTAAGATGTTTGCCCTGACTTTCATAGAGAGAAAGTGTGTATGGTCTGGGGTTTGTGCATACAATAAAGAAAGAAAAATAAGAATTGGACAGAGTGGCCGGTATTAAAAGAAACCAGCAGCTGTTCTGTCAGTTTGTCTGAGATACTGAATGGTTCTTAGACCTTGAAACAGAAAGCAGCTTTGGCAGCTTTTCAGAAAATCCTGGATACCTGCAAGTCGGTGTAAAAGCTCTATCGCAAAAATAGGAGGCCTAGTGTGATTGCTAGTGCAAAACAAGTAGATGTAACAGCTCTGTTGTGAGTGGAAGTAAGAGCAGTATACCTGCACAGTAGCTGTAGACAGATCAAGTCCTAGGTGTATAGGAATAGCACCAGAAATGGGTGAACAGCATTTCTTTCCATTGTACTCTTCAGGAAGACAGTATCAGATAGACTCTCAATGGATGTGGATCCAGTGTTGTAAGAAGTCAAGAATATTTTAAAGTGCTACTGGCCAGCTTCAAGAAAAGGCATTGTGGTGGTGTACTTCTTGAGGGGTGTCAAGAATGCAGCTTGATCTGTGAAAGAAGTAATTAAGGATGATGTTAAGTATCTGCATGTAGACTCATCACATCTCTTTGGCAGAAAGCTTGAGGATCATTTTGAGGTTTTATTTGGCTGCCTTCTTGGAGCAGCCGATTCTAGAGCAAGAGGTTGCTCCAGTGCATACACTAAATGCAGTAAATAATCTATGCTTCCTTACGTATTTATCAAAAGGAACAAATAGTTATTTGCAGTCATGTTTGTTGTTTGCAGCTAGACAACATCTTTGAATAATACCACAGGAAACCACTTTGTGAAAAGAGTTTGATAAGTTTAGTGGCAAGCTTAGAAAACCAGATTTCCATGTGCTTAGTGTGTTGCACACTTAGCCTACTGCACATTAGCAAGAAACCCTGTAACGTGATTGGTATTAGGCA